CATTTGGGTTTATTTTTTGGTAAATAAAGAAACAATTCTGGTTCTCCAAATCCCTTACATTATTTCAAAGCCTTCAGGCTGTTGTATATGTTTTTCATTCCCACTCCTAAAAACAAAATAAACCTCACAGCAACCTCGTGTGTATCAGAGTAGAAATGTGTTCCATGGGGTTTTCGATGGTCGATATTTCAGAAGTAGATTGTCAGGCCTTTCTTCCAAGGTCTCTCTGGGTAAACTCAAACCTCCAACCTCCCAGTTAGTAGCTGAGGGCATTAACTCTATGAATCACCCAGGGACTTCTCTAAAGCATAATAGCTGCCATTTATTGATCTGCTGCAAAGTGCTTAGCACCCAGTATGGAGTCAATGAACATGTTTTGAATGAAAATAAGAATGAAAAGAATGTAATTCATCAATATTCCTGAGCTACCTCTGCCTGTTCTGATATGATTGAATTCTTTCTGCAATAGAGAGAGGAATGAGGGTGAATGGTATTTTTCTCTTTTCCTTCCTGGAAAGAAGTAATTATGGTGACCATGTTATGAAGAGAGACATTCAATCCAAAAACCAAGCCTACTGCTATCGAGTCAATGCTGACTCATAGCAACTCTATAGGACAGGGTAGAATTCCCCCTTAGTGTTTCCAAGGCTGTAAATTTTTATGGAAACAGGTTGTCTCATCTTTTTCCTACAGAGAAGCTGGTGAATTTGAACCTCTGACTTTTTGGTTAGCAACCCAATGCCTTAACTGCTGCACCACCAGCTCTCATTGTGGCAAAAGCCAGAATTCAGGGAGAAAAGGACTCTCTCTCTCCTCTTCTTAGGTAAAGAGCCAGGAGGCTTTTAAAAATAAATGTTTAGGAAGAGTGTTGACTTTGGAATCCTCTGCTTGTCTATATATCCATCTTATCATTCACCCAGTTATCCATCCATCTATCCATCCATCCATTCATCAATCCAACCCCCACTTAAAAAGTTTTTATTCAGCATCTATTATGTACTGTCATAATACAGGGATACAGTGGTGAACAAAACAGACACCAGATAAATTAGGACTGTTGTCCTAACTCAGCCACTTACAAAATGGTGTGGCCTTAGAAAAGTTACTTGATCTCTTTGAGTTTTTTTCATCTTTAAATTGGGCATTCTAATCTCTACTGCAGGAGCTCTGGTGCTCTATGGTTAAGGCATTGGCTGCTAACCAAAAGGTTGATGGTTCAAACATACCAGTTGTTCTGCAGGAGAAAGTTGAGGCCATCTGCTTCCATAAAGATTTACAGCCTTAGAAACTCTATGGGGGTGGCTATGAGTCGAAGTCCACTCGATGGCAGTGGGTTTAATCTCTTCTTCAATTCCTGGGTGGCACAAATGGCTGAGTGCAAAACTACTAAGCCAAAGGTTAGTGGATTCAATCCATCTGGAGGCATCTCAGAAAACAGACCTAATCTGCTTCCAAAGGGTCACAGCCATGAAGACCCCATGGAGCAGTTCTATTCTGACACACATGAGGTCACCATGAGTCAGAATCAAGCTAGGGCAGCTGTTAATCTCTACTTCACAGTGAAAGGGATTAGAAGAAACATTGTGCATATACAGAAAACAGCACAATGACCAGTTCATAGTAGGTCCATCACAAATAGTTGCTTTGTAAGTTTCTATCTCCCCAAACACCCCCACTTCTCACTCTAGTGCCATACAGGTCAGCATTTCTACATAATTTTCACACAAAACAGCAATAAGGACTTGTAGAGAGGTGGTTGCCTGGGTGTGGAGTGGGGGCCTGGGTTGAGGGTGGTGGTGATTTTATGCTTACCTGTCCTTGATGAAAAGTAACTCCTTTCCCAGCATTGTCTCAGCATCAAAGGACAAGCTGGAGTCACAGAAGTCAGGGTGTGATGGATTATGCGGAGGGGCATGGGGCACAGAAGGCTTTCCTGGGAGTGTTTTCCAAAGTCTTAAGATTCAAAGGGGAGCTCTGATAGCATAGTGCCTAAGGCATTTGACTGCTAACCAGAAGGCTGGTGGTTCAACCCCCCCAGCCACTCCTCGGAAGGAAGATGAGGCAATCTACTTCCGTAGTGATACTGCCTTGGCAACCCAAGGAGGGGTCGCTATGAGTCAGGTCCGACTCGATGGCACATAACAACAACAACAACAACAAGATTCAAAGAGACTTGGTCAAAATGGTACCAGGAATCAAGAGACTGTACATTTCTGCTCTAGAGATCCAGGGAGCTTGTATCTTTCCACACTCTGTGATGCTATGATAAAGGGCATGGCTGTTGATGGCAGGCTGACTTAGATTTGAATCCAGACTTCACTAGTGTGATGTAGGGCAAATAATTTGCCCTCTTTAAGCTGCTGTTTCCTCATTTGTAAAATGGGAATGGTAAAAATAGTACCTACCTCAGAAAGTTGTTGTGAGGATCAAACAATGTCTGTAAAATACTTAGTAGAGTCACTGACATATGGTAAACATTTTCCAAAATGGTAGCTATTATTTCATTTAGTCCCTCATTGATAGAAATGGCTAATGGTCTTAGCTGCTAACCAAAAGTTTGGAGGTTTGAGCCCACCCAGGCACTTCAGAAGAAAGACTTGGTGATCTGTTTCCAAAAAAATCAGTCATTGAAAACCCTATAGACCCTAAGGTGCGACTGTTGGTCTCTTTCTATCAGGAGCAAAGAAGAGTGAAGAAAATCAAAGACACAAGAAACAGTCCAAAGACTAAATTAATGTACTGCAGGAAGTGGTGGTCCTGGATAGAGAAAAATGTGGAACAAAATGCAAAATCATAAAAAGACCAGGCTTACTGGTCTGAAAGAGACTGGTGAAACCCCAGAGATATGGCTCTTAGACCCTTTCAAGCCTGCAACTGAACCCACCCTCATGGCTCAGCTTTCAGTCAAAGGATAGACAGGCCTAAAAAACTCACTGCCATCGAGTCAATGCTGACTCATAGCAACCCCCTTTGGGTTTCCGAGGCAGTAAATCTTTATAAGTAGATTGCCCAGTCTTCCTTCTGCAAAGTGGCTGGTGGGTTTGAAAAGCCAACCTTTTGGTTAACAGTTAACTGCCTTAGGCACTATGCCACCAAAGCTCCTTAGACAGGTCTAAGGTGAACCATAACACCAGGGAGATATATACTCATTAGAACAATCAACCATAGGTGATCAAAAGGGCAGCATTTACCCAGGGATGAAGCTCAGAAAGAAGGAGTGGATAAGAAAGAAGGGCAAATGGAAATGATAAACACAGGGAGGAAGTAAGAAGAGCGCTGTTGTTACATTGTGGGGATTGCAAGCAATGCCACAAAACAAAACGTGTATGCATTGTGAATGGAAAACCAATTTGCTCTGTAAACTTTCACCCCAATCACAACAACAACAAAAAAATCAATTAAAGCAAAGTCAAGGTTAAAAAAGAGAGAGCATATTCAGGGCTGCTGTTTCTAGTTTAATCTTTACTTATATAGATAACTGCCGACAAAGTACACTTTCTCTAAGCTGGAGTCCAAATGCCTGTCACTTTCAGAGTCAGAAGTCAAAGACGTATAGAGACTATACAATACAATGTCTGGATCCCTTTCACATCATCCTTGGGGAGGTGGAATCCATAGGGATGCTGGTACTTATAAGTTGGATACATCAGTGCTGAGGGATCTGTGGAATGGGCCAGGCCCAATGCATGACCAAGTTCATGAGCAGCAACAGTGAATAAATTGAAGCCTAAACAATATGAGAGAGAAAAAGACAGCATCAATATAGACTTTTGTCTTTACAGGATCATTTATTATAGTTAACTCATTTCCATTATTATTCAAAGGTTGGTAGGTTATTCAGGCACTTTGCTTTGCTGGCTTTAGTCTAATTCTTTATACTTTGGCTAGCAGGGGGTGTGAGAGGAGTGGGAATGTTAATCAATCCATTCTGCTTATTGTCAGTGACTCTGTTCTTTGAAATGATTAAGATAGTCCTTTAGCATTAACAATGGTAAGGATATTTAGCAGTAATATGTAATTTTGACCATCAACGCTTTACTAGTTGCCTACTACCACAGCCAATACCTCTTGTCCACACAGGTCCCATGCTGCAGATTTCCAGATAACCTGCATGCTATTTTGGGACCTTTGTACCCTTCCCAAGCACACTTCTCAGGAGAATACTTATTTCCTCAGGTCACTTCTGAATATAACCTGTGTCCAAGTATAAGTTAGAAGCAATAAATCCTACATAGTTTAAGAAAAAGAGCTCTGTGTTAAGGAGGGGTTTGCTAATTCTTGAGATTATATGCTATGAAACAGAGATCAGAAAAGTAGTGGTACATTGAGGGTGGATCTTTTCCCTCATGGTTTTCCCTTTTGGATTTTTGGCTTACTTGTTTTTCCTAGTCAGCCCCCCTAGTTAAAGGACGGCTTGGGACATTGAACCCCAAGGTTTCATGATGGAGGCCCAGAAGAAGGTACAATATTTTCCAGGTTATGGTGAATTGTGCATATATACCATTCATTCCCATAGTCCACTTCTTGGCATTGTCAAAATGTGTATCACCTCCCAGGCCTTCTCCAGGTGCAAATGCATGGGTCAGAGTCCCTTGAGGACCATCGAATGGATAGGAATCCCCATGATCTAAACAAGTGGGGGAAAATGCCCAAAATGATTGAGTGCTATGAGCAATTTTGAAGAGCACACATTATAGAGAATGGATAAGTTTTTGAATAGCATTGATAATTCTCATCAAAGTAAATTTATTTTTCAATATGCACATGTCCACAAGTAATCTGTTCATGAAACATAAAAAAAGAGCCATTTGTTCTTCAAAGACAGTGTTGTTGCTGTTGTTATGTGCCATTAAGTCAGACCTGACTCATAGCGACCCCTCCTTGGGTTTCCGAGGCGGTATCACTATGGAAGTAGATTGCCCAACTTTCCTCCCAAGGAGTGGCTGGTGGGTTTGAACCTCCAGCCTTCCAGTTAGTAGTCAAGTGCTTTAGGTACTACCCTAGCAGAGCTCCTTCAAAGACAGTAAGCATTAGAAATAGAAAGTTTTTTTTTTTTTTTACATGTTATTGCAACATCTATTAACTTACATGTGGCATACTGTGGAATATTAACATGCCACAGGACAGAAAAGTAGAAAGAGCAGAGAGTCTTTTAACATCATAGGCCACTTTTTGGAATGTAAATCTATTGCCAGAGTACGGTTTTCAATATACGTTTCAGGCAAAAGTAAACTGAGCAAGTGTGTGCTTTCTGGTTCTACAGCACAGTGTAATACAATTTAAGACAATGCTAAAAAGAGAGGAAAAGAGAGAAAGACATATAGAGAGAGAAAATATTTCTCTGTGCCATAAGTATATCCCACCTAAATTTAGAGATCATCTGAGGAATAGATTTGACACATTGAACACCAATCACTGAAGATCAGACGAGTTGTGGGATGACATCAAGAACATCACATACAAAGAAAGAAGGTCATTAAAAAGACAGGAAAGGAAGAAAAGGCCAAAATGGATGTCAGAAGAGGCACTGAAACTTGCTCTTGAATGGAGAGTAGCTAAAGCAAATGGAAGAAATGATGAAGTAAAAGATCTGAACAGAAGATTTCAAAGGGCAGCAGCTCAAGAAGACAAAGTAAAATATTATAATGAAATGTTCAAAGACCTGGAGATAGAAAACCAAAATGGAGGAACACACTTGGCATTTCTCAAGCTGAAAGAACAGAAGGAAAAAAAGTCAACTCTTGAGTTGCAGTATTGAAGGATTCTATGAGCAAAATATTGAATGATGCAGGAAGCATCAAAACAAGATGGAAGGAATACACAGAGTCAACATACCAAAAAGAATTGGTTGACATTCAGCCATTTCAGGAAGTAGCATATGATCAAGAACGAATGATATGGAAGGAAGAAGTCTAAGCAGCACTGAAGGAATTAGAGAAAAACAAGAATCCAGAAATCGACAGAATACCCACTGAGATGTTTCAACAAACAGATGCGAAGCTGGAAGCACTCACCTATATATGCCAAGAAATTTGGAAGAGAGCTACCTGGCCAACTGACTGGAAGAAATCTGTATTTGTGCCCATTCCAAAGAGAGCTGATCCAACACAATGTGGAAATTATTGAAAAATATCGCTAATATCACACACAAGTAAAATTTTGCTGAAAATAATTCAAAAATAGTTGCAGCTGTACATGACAGGGAACTGCCAGAAATTGAAGCTGGAGTCAGAAGAGGGCATGGAATGAGAGATATCATTGCTTATGTCAGATGGATCTTGGCTGAACGCAAAGAATACTAGAAAGATGTTTACCTGTGTTTTATTGACTGTGCAAAGGCATTCAACTGTGTAGAAAATAACAAATTATGAAAAATATTGCAAGAATGAGAATGCCAGAACACTTTACTCTGCTCATGATGAACCTGTACATAGACTAAGAAGCAGTCATTTGAACAGAACAAGGGGGATACTTCATGGTTTCAAATCAGGAAAGGTGTGGGTTAGGGCTGTATTCTTCACCATATTTATTCAATCTATATGTTGAACAAATAATCCAATAAGCTGGAATATATGAAGGAAAATATGACATCAGGATTGGAGGAAGACTCATTAACAATCTACAATATTCAGATGACCCAACTTTGCTTGCTGAAAGTGAAGAAGACTTGAAGTAGTTACTGATGAAGATCAAAGACCAGTCTTCAGTATGGATTACACCTCAACATAAAACAAAAATCCTCACAACTTGACCAATAAGCAACAACACGATAAATGGAGAAAAGATTGAAGTTGTCAGGGATCTCACTTTACTTGGATCCACAATCAACACCCATGCTATCAACAAATCCAATGTCGTATTGCACTGGGTATATCTGCTGCAAAAGACCTTTTTAAAGTGTTAAAGAGCAAAGATGTCACTTTGAAGACTAAGGTGTGCCGAACTCAAGCCATGATATTTTCAATCGCCTCATATGCATGTGAAAGCTGGAGAATAAATAAGGAAGATCGCAGAAAAATTGAGGCATTTGAATTGTCAAGTTGGCAAAGAATATTATTATACCATGGACTGAAGAATGAACAAATCTGTCTTGGAAGAAGTAGAGCCAGAATGTTCCTTAGAAGTGAGAATGGCCAGACTTTGACTCATGTACTTTGTTAGAAGGGACCAGTTCCTGGAGAAGGATATCATGCTTGGTAAAGTAAAGGGTCAGCAGAAAAGGAGAGGGCTCTCAATGAGATGGATTAACACAGTGGCTACAACAATAGGCGCAAACATAGCAAGGATTGTGAGGATGGTGCAGAACTGGGCAGTGTTTTGTTTTGTTGTGTATACTGTCACCATGAAACCAACTTGATGGCATCTAACAACAGCAACAACATTTTGATATACTTTCATGTGTAAAACTTATGAAAATAATAAAGATGTCTATAAAGTGCTAACATTTTAAACTTTGTTTCAGTTTTTCTTTATCTTAATTAATTGTTCATTAGAAACTTAACAGAAAAGGAGGAAGAAAATAGTAGAAGCTACTTTTCATATTGTTTTCAGAATTTTAGTGAGGACATTGTTCTGGTATGCCATTTTCCCAGGTTCCAATGCAGTACAATTTAATCAGGTTGCACCCCCTGTGGACCTAATGCAATGGTAGCACAGTCCCCAGTGAGCTTTTGTTTTAGGGGATATCAGCTTGAAGGGTCAAGAGAGAGCCAGGTGTCATCTCCATGGCCTGCAAAGCTGCCTGGGTCATACTGCCCTGGTACTTCATTGGAGTTGGCCTTGGTCGTTCAGGTAAAGAAAAGGGGCCCTGAGTCAGCACTCTTGGTACTACAGGCCAGGCTACATCCACCAGGGTTTGCTTGATCTTTCTTCTAGTGTCTAAGCATTTTTTAACCCTAGTGAAGTCAAATTAAACTTAAGATCAAGGCTTGAATGGACAGGGACAAATATAGAAATGTTATCTATGGGGGGGGCAATGGCAAACATTTACTTGACTCTTAGGAAGCTGCGAAGGGCAAGGAAATTCACGGGCCATGTGCCCTCCCATTATCTACTAAATGGACAAGTTTCTCTAAAGAAAGGGCTCAAAGCTTCCCACCTCAAACTTATGCTTCCACTCCTTATGTGGTAGTTAAGTTTGTGTGTCAACTCGGCTGGGCCTGGTTGAATGGCTGGGCAACTGGATGTAGTATTCCCCATAATGAGACTGATAATCAGCTCCATAGTGGAATCTACTGTGAGCAGTTGAGTAGCCTTAGGGATGTGGTCTGCTTCCTGTATATAAAGAGAAGCCTTGGGGAACAGTCTCTAGTTTATGGCACACTTGAACCCTGCATGTAGCTTTGTTGTTGTTCAGCAGCATGCCATGCTTTGCCGACATTGGGACTTTCAGTGGACTTGAATTGATGGTCTGCCGTGTAGTTTGGTAACATCAGGACTGTGCCTTTTTACTTGTCAACCTTGGGCTTGGCAGCCTCAGCAGCCAGCAGCTGAGTGAAGAAAAGCCTCTGGCTTCAGTGGGCTGGGAGCAGGAGGCAGAGCTGAAGCCCAAGGTTGAGGGGCTTTCACCCAGCCCCTAGAGCCTGGCACCTTGAACTTGGACTTAAAGCTTCCAAACTGTAAGAGAATAAACTCCTATTTCTTCAAGCCACCCCATGTGTGCTATATTCTTGTCAGAGCGGTACTAGGTCACCAGAACACCCTACGAGGGTGGCTGATGTGGTGGAGAAGAAATGGGCCAAGTGATAGGCAGGCCTCATCAGTACCAGTGAGGGCTGGCTATTTGCAAAAGGTAATCTGTAAGCTGAGGGGAAGGCAGCAATTTTCCTAACCATTACTACAGAGGGAAAAGCTGTCTTAGGGCCACTGTGGGATGTACCACTTCAGTGAGGATACCATGTTGGAGATTCTTGGCTGATATGGAAGGAGTATATAGCGAAGAACATAATGGTGGTAACGGGATGAGGTTAGGTGGTCTTCTAGCCAATGTTGTTGCTGTGTGCTGTTGAGTCAATTCCTATTCGTAGAGACACTATATGACAGAGTAGAATTGTCCCATAGGTTTTCCTAGGCTATAATCTTTATGGGGCAGATTTCTAGGTCTTTTCTCCCATGGAGTGGCTGGTGGGTTTGAACCACCAACCTTTTCGTTAGCAGGTGAGTGCTTAACCATTGCAGCACCAGATCTCCTTTTCTAGCCAACACCCATTGCTGTTGAATTGGATCTGACTCAGAGTGACCTCCTTGGGTTTCCAAGGCAGTATCTGTATGGAAGTAGATTGCCCAACCTTCCTTCCGAGGAGTGGCTAGTGGGTTTGAACCACCAGCCTTCTGGTTAGCAGTCAAATGCCTTAGGCACTACACCACCAGAGCTCCCTTCTAGCCAACAGGAAAATTAAATTTCTCAGAATTTCCCCCCAATGGGGCAAAAAGAGTCCCTTGGGTGGTACAAATGGTTAACAGACTTGACTGTTAAGCAAGGACTTGGCAATTACAGTCCACCCAGAGGGGCCTTGGAAGAAAAGCCTTTTGATCCACTGAAATGTCAGTCATTGAAACACATGGTGTCTGCACAAGGATGAGTTGACTCAACGGCAACTGTTTTTTTTTTTTTTCTTTTTTCTTTTTTTACTGGTAATGAGGTGAAACCATGATGAAAATTGATTACACTGAGTTCCTTGTATAGCTGAGTCTAATGATGACAAGGAGCTCTGGTAGCATAGTGCCTAAGGCACTTGACTGCTAACCAGAAGGCTAGTGGTTCAAACCCACCAGCCACTCCTCGGAAGGAAGGTTGGGCAACCTACTTCCATAGTAATACTGCCTCAGAAACCCAAGGAGGGATCCTATGAGTCAGGTCCTACTCATGGCAAATAACAGCAACAACAACAATGATGACAATTGGCAGGAACTCCTCTGGTTCCATTTTATGACTGTATGCTTTGTTGGGATCTTGACCTCTGCCCATCACACCATGGTGTAAAGGAAGATTGTCCTGATCAGTGGGATTAACTATTGCAGAAGAGTTTAGAAACAATTCTCCTTTGGATTAGTAGACAAAATCCATGAAGCATCACAATACCTCCAGTTTCAAAAGAGATCATTATATCTGCTTCTCCCAAGTTTACTTTTACAAAGCTCAGAGGGATGGCTCTGCTCCAGGCCTGCAAGGCCATCTCTACTGCTTTGTCCACATCAGCTGAACTCATGGAAGATGTGTATTTGGAGATTCTAAGTAAATAAAGAGAACATGCTTTCCTTTTGGTAAACTATCCAAAATAATTCTTATTTTGTATTTCTATTTGTTAAACTACTGAAACATGCTAGACAACACAAAACACGAAAGGGGGAAATGAGAGACAATTGAGATATTCTGAAACAGATCAACTTTTATTGATACTCTGCTACCACTTATTATAAAGAATACCTTGTGTAACTTTACAAGTAACAAGAGGTCTATTTTCCCGAAAGTGGTTTTAATTGAGAAGAGTCCTCTTTCCCCTTAAAAGGGAATGAAATTTTTAAATTGTAAAAAAATATATAAATGTAGAGTTTTGAGGTTTTACAAATTGTCATTCGAAGGCCATCAGGATTTCCCCAGGACCGTTGGGGAATGTCTTCTCTAAAGAGAATGTATTTCTTAAGAGGAAGTGCTAACTGCAAAAAAGGATGCTCAGTCAGACTGAAAAATGGGTGAGCCTTTCAGCAAGTCTTCTTGTGATAATGACATGCAAAGATAGGACAAAGTAGAGCTTTTCGGACAAACAGTGGGTGGAGATGGAGTTGGTTGTCTTGGAGCCCAGAACTGGGGCTTTCTGGCAACATGAATAGGCATGGTAGGATAGGGAAATTTCCACCTCAGGCGGGGCTGAATTATGGATCCAAGGGAAAAACCAGCTCTGTGATTCAAAGATCTAATGAATTTAAGGGCAGAGATTGAGTGTACGTGCATTCTTTCTCCAGCTCCTAGTCCAATGTTTTGTAGATAATGGTAGCTTAGCAAATGCTTGATAAACAGATTGAATTAATGAAAAAAATAAAATAAAATCCTCTACCACTGAGTTGATTCCACCTCATAGAGATCCCCATGGGGTTCCAAGGCAGCAAATCTTTAGAACCGTTAACCTCTGGTTAGCAGTCAAATGCCTTAGGCACTGCAGCACCAGAGTTCCTTAGTTAATAAATGCTGGTTAAGGATCTGCCCAGTGGTTCTCAAGTTAAGATCTATGATAACTACCTGGGACATTTGTTAAATGTACAGGCATGGTCCAGAGATCCACATTTTAGCAAATATCCCAAGTTATTCTAATGTAAGTGATGCAAATTCAACCAGGAACCAATAGCAGTAATCCTGGGGTCTAAAAGGGAAGGGAACATATCCTGCAGATAGGACTGTGAATAGTTCATTCTAGGACTGGGAGGGGAGTAACAAAGACATTTTTAACCCCAGGTGTTGGGATCAAGAGGAGGGAGCTATAGAGTTGAAAGGGGAAAATAGAAATCATTTAATGCTTTCAAAATACACCAAATCCACTGCAGAATACAAATTTGTGATTTACCTTGACTCTGTATAGTTAAACCAAAAACCAATCCCACTGCCATTGAGTCAATTCTGACTCCTAATGACTCTTTGGGACAGAGTAGAACCACCCCATAGGATTTCCAAGGCTGTAAATCTTTATGACTGCAGACTGCCTCATCTTTCTCCTGCGGAGAAGCTGGTGGGTTTGAATCACTGACTTTGCTTAGCAGTGGAATGTTTTAACCACTAATACCTTCAAATTCCCTCTTATTAAAGACAAGTCAGCCATCTCTTTGAGCTGACTATGTGTTTGGGATGGAAAAGACAGGAATGGAGAAAAGAATAGCACCAGAAAGGAAGAGAATGTCGAAAAAGGCTCTGTTGTTGTTATGCGCCGTCGAGTTGGCCCCGACTCATAGTGACCCCTCCCTGGGTTTCCAAGGCAGTATCACTATGAAAGTAGATTACCCAACCTTCCTTCCAAGGAGTGGCTAGTGGGTTTGAACCGCCAGCCTTCTGGTTAACAGTCAAGTGCCTTAGGCACTATGCTACCAGAGCTCCTGACCCAGGCTCTAGAGATTGATAAAATCATAGTCATAACAGCTAATATTCATTGAACACATACTGTGTGCTGGACACTCTTCTAAGCACTTTTTAATTTAGTATTTCACTTAATACTCATAGCAACCCTTAAGAGATAAGAACAATTATCTACATTTTCTGATTAGTCAGGATGTCAGCCCAATTCTGTCTGGCTTGAAACCTTATGCATTATGCTGTATTTTGTCTTTTTATCCTCAAAGTTACATTATAAGTAGCTATCCTGAGACCCAGTATCTATAGGGACAGAGTACTAAGATAGCCTCTGGTGTTTTCCTTTGTGTGTTATTGAATCAATTTTTGTCCCATAGTGACCCCATGTGACAGTAGAACAGTTCCACAGGGTTTCTACTCTAATCTTTATGGAAGCAGATCACCAAGTCTTTCTCCCCTGGAACAACAGAGTGGATTTGAACTACCAACCTTTCAGTTAGCAACTGAGTACTTAACCATTGTGCCACTAGGGCTCCTTAAGATAACCTCTGTTGCTTTTTTTGGGGTGTGGGGGGTGCAGGTGGGTGGAGTTATTCAGGAGCAAGAGTGGATGAGCAGTGTGAGTGTGTTGAAGGGACTGCCCTTGCCTGGAGCTAGGGTTCTTTAACGTATCACGAGGGTGTTGTAATTCTCTACATTTCAGACTATCTTGATCTTTGATCTTGTTTTTGTTGTATAAGGTCCCAGCCTGAAATTCTAGGATATAGTTTATTTAAAAAACAAAACAAAACAAAACAGTGAGAAAAACTCCATGGATTTACATAAATTTTTCATGTCTTACTCTTAATTGTCTCATAACCACTGCTGGGTTCAGCTTCTTATGAGGCTTTTCTTTCCCAATGGCTTTGATTTGTTGTGGACTTCTGGCTTACAAAGGAGCTCTGGTGGCTCAGTGCCTAAGGCATTTGACCGCTAAGTAGAAGGCTGGTGGATCAAACGCACTCACCGCATCCCAGAAGGAAGATGGGGCAATCTAGGTAAAGATTTACTGCCTCAGAAACCCAGTGAGGGTCTCCAAGAGTCTGAATGGACTGGAGGGTAGCAAGTTTGGTTTTTGGTTTTAGTTTCTGTTTTAAGAGACCAATAATTGTGTTTGGAGCACCACCTTCTGGAATTAATAGCAGCTAACAGTTAGCCTAATAGAATCATTGGACCTCCCTGAGCCTGGAATTACAGGTTTGCTGGTACAGTTTAACATCAGGCTCTGTGGGGAAAAACAGTCCTGATGTTTAGGGATTTTTTATTTCCGTCTTCTGAGTACTCTCACTATGGCTAATTTCAAGTTACCAGTTTACCATCACTGAAGGGGAAGTTAGGAAGAGATAAGCAGTAACACACCATGGAATAGTATTGTCTGCCATACAGATAAAATAGAAGTAAATAATCTCATGAATACAGATAGTAGTAAAATGGAGTAAAATAATTATAAAGTGATAAATTTCAATTAACCTTTGTTTATAATATAATTTAATTGTAAGTTTATCAAATTTACCTTGTAATGGCTCTGTTTAACAAATAACAAATTTCTGAAAATTTAATAACTGGCTTGCAATATTCCTGAAAATTTAAAGATGGCTGTTATGAACCAGCCTAGCACAACAGTGCTTGGTCCATTGCAACAGTCCAGTGTTTCCCCAGCCCTAGTCATCGTTCACGTGTGCTTATTCTAAATACAAAATCTGGTCCTGATCCTGGCCTGGCTCTCCACTGCCCTGAGATAAAGCCCAAACTCCTTTAGTTCATATACTAGTTGCTCTTAGGTTGCCTCTCCAGCTTCATTTCCCAGCAGCCCCCTTGCGGCTCCCTCTTCTCCTTATGCTTTGGTTGTGCACTGCTGTCCCAACACACTCTCTCCAGATGTTTGCTGGCTTTGCTTTTCTACTTAGAAACCCCTTACTACTTGCAAGGTCTGAGGGAAGAATACAAATGGAGACATCTGGCCAATAGGTGCTACCTTCTCTTCCAATGCCTCCACCATCAGACATTTGAGGGGCCTATACATCAAATGTCTACACCTCTCTAAGCTCAGGGATGAGCACCAGGGATGGTCCATCCACAGTTGGCTGAACCTTGAAAGGCCTAAAATGACCCAAAAAGTCCATTCAAGCTGCTGGGATAGTGGTACCCAGACATGGGGAGGACACAGATTCCAGTTGGGTGTGTCCCTTTGACTTTACAAACTTCCTGTGCTGATGAAGGCAAGGCCGGAGGATCCACAGGATGACCAGATAGAGGGTACTCTGAAGTGTGGAGGTTGAGGGGACTGAGGTTATAGACAGACTGCTCCTGCTTATCCTTCAAATCAGACTCACATGCCCAATCCCTGGGTGAGTTAGTAGCTCCCTCTATGTGCTACCACAGGTCTTTGCTTAGACCTGTAGTTTTGTTCTTTTCACCTGGAGCTGCAATAACTATTTGCATGCCTGTCTCCCCCAAAAAACTGTGAGTTCCCTAAGGCCAGAGAAGATGATGCCTTCATATTTATATCCCTCAAATTGAATGCCTAAAGTAGGTACTTGAAAAATAATCAATAATAAATTTTTTGAATGAATAAAAAAAGTTAATGCATGAATTTTATCTTATCCTTCTAATTGGGCAAGTTGTTTTAAGGAAGTGGTTGATAAAGCAGTAAATCAGCTACCATTGAGTCAGTCCCAACTCATGGCAACCGTTGTGTATCAGAGTAGAACTACATTCCATAGGGTTTTCAATAGGTGATTTTTCGGAAGTAGATGGACAGATCTTTCTTCCCAGGCACTACTGGGTGAACATGAACCGCCCACCTTTTGGTTAGCAGCCAAGTGTGTTAACTGTTTGTGCTGCCCAGGGTTACCATCAGGTTACTACCAAAACAAAAACAAAAACCAAACTCATTACCATCAAGTCAGTTCTGACTCATAGTGACCCCCATTGGTTTTCTGAGGCAGTCAATCTTTAAGGAAGTAGATTGCCCAGTGTTCCTTCTATGGAGTGGCTGGTGGGTTTGAACGGCCAACCTTCTGGTTAGCAGTCAAATGCCTTAGGCACTACACCACCAGAGCTCCTGTGAGGTTACTGATCCCAACTAAATTATTTTTATTTAAAGAAAAATAATTTTTTTGTAACTGTAAAATTATTTCCAATGCCTAATTAGAACCAGTCATACAATAATCCTGAGATCATATTTTCTAGTGATTTACCACTATCATTGTCTAAAGGTCGGACCTAAAACATTCTGAATCTTTCCTATGGTTGTGATGAGACATGATTTCCTGCAGATCAGAAGGGAGGTTTTTTGTTTTTTTTTTTAAAGAAAAGAATAAAAGTGAGAAAAAAGGGTGTTTCTCTCTGAATTTTCTAAGACTTGATCTCATTACCTGTACATCAAAGTGTTTTTTTTTCCATTTGGGCTCACCTGGGAAGAGGTGATAGTTGGCCACGTGAGGAACTCCACAGTGAGGCCTCTTGATCACGTTCATGGTCAATTGGTCTAACTTCTCCATGACTTGGAGGCCAAAGAATGCTTGCAGCTCCTTAATCTTCCCTACCATGGAATTGCCTCCTCTTGCAACCATTTCACCAATCTGGGGTTTTCCTTTCTTTCTGTAATACTTGTCAAGATATGCCTGAAATGGAGAGAGAGGCTGACAAGTCTATGCCGTTATTTCTGGGAAATAATAATATTCTTGATACATGTAAAATGATGTGTATGATATTGTAATGGATTAAATTGTGTCCCTTAACAAAAAAAAATTATATTTAAGTCTTAATCAGTAAGTGTGACTTTGTTTGGGGAAATAGGTTGTGTGTTTCTTTTCTTTTTGTTTTTGAGATGTTATCAGTTAAATTTATGAGATCATACTGGAGTAAGGTGGGTCCTAACTCAAATCCCTTTGAGTGGTGTTTTATTAAAGGGAAGAATAGAGACAGAAACAAAGTCACACACAAGGGTAGAAACCATATGAAGATACATCTACAAGCAGCAAAAGAATGCCAAGGATTGCTGGCAGCCAGTAGGAGGTGGGAGAAGCGTGGAACACTTCTCTCAGACCCCACAGAGAGAATCCATATGACCAATACCCTGATCTAGATTTCTAACTTTGTGAACTATGAGAAAATAAATTTATGTTCTGTTAAGCCCCCCGTTTTGTGGCATTTTGTTTTACCAGCCCTAGGAATCTTAGATAAGTATACTTCCATTTTTTAAAAAGGTAGATATATTTGTATAGCTCAAGCTTAGAATGATATACTCTAAATTTTATAGTTCTTCTACAGTGAATATGTATTTTTGATTTAATATTTTGCCATTGAAGTTCTTTACTCAGTTTATAAAACAGACTATGTAGTTTCTCTAATAGATAGTTATAGGTATAATAATTTCATTTTGCTTTATGTAAGGTCAGTACTTTTAATTCTCAGGGGCATTATATTTCAACCTCTCATCCTGAACTAAGGCAGAGGGTCAATCTATTTACCATCTGAGACTTTTAATTAATTCAGATGCTTCAGTATGATGTGGGGTAGAGGCTATTTTTATGAAGCAAATTTCCTAGGACAGGCTCTTCGCCTCTTGAAGCAAGTAATATTAACCATACATTTTAAAGTGTTTATAAAGGCCTAATACCCCTTATATATTGTTCAAAATCCTTTCTATGACTCAGGGCTAGGTTAGGGTGACATGAATGAGAAAGGGTCATGCAAGTGCAAGCTTGGCGCCTGGCTTTGAGCCAGGAGCTTCACCTGCTTAACTTATTTCAGGAAAATAAGTGCAGTGAAAGATTTATATAAATTTTGTAATATATATATAAAGTTTATACTTACATATTATATGTGTGATATATGATATACAAACCATGTAGTATTTATTTATATATTACCTATTAACTACATATTTATACATTATATAAAATATGTATAGTATTTATTTATATATTATGTGTACATATTTGTATAGATAAGTAATGAAAAAAAGTGGAAGAAGATTTAATATTAACAATAGGGAATTTGTTAACTATATTATTAAGGCCCTCTGGTGGCACAGTGCTTAAGGCATTTGCTGACCAACTGGAAGTTTGGCAGTTCAAACCCACCAGCCACTCTGTAAACAGAAGATAGAGGAGTCTACTTCCATAAAGATTTACTGCCTTGGAAACCCAGTGGAGTTTGCTGTGAGTTGGAATTGACTTGATGGCAACGAGTTTGGTTTGATTTATGTGAATACTAGGCCTATACTAAGATCACATTTTTGAAAAATATTTAATGGCATAGAATAATGCTCTCAATATAATGGCAATAATTGGAAAAAGCAGAAGAGAAATCACTATAATAGAAGTTTCATAAATAAGCCAAACCAAATATTTATACATATACACTTGTGTGTGTATATAAACTTACATGTATGTATGAATGCATATTTGTATGCAATACATAGCAACCCCATGTGTTACAGAGTAGAAAAGCTCCATAGAGTTTTCTTGGCTGTAATCTTTTATGAAAAGAGATCACCAGGTCTTTCTTCTGAGGTGCTCCGGGTGTGTTTGAACTACCAACCTTTTGGTTAGTAGTAATGAGCAAACCGTTTACACTCCCAAGAGACTTCTTGTTTTTACTTATATCCCAAAGTTTTCTAAATGAAAGAGGACTGACATTGTTAAGGAAAAAGTAAAAAGAAGTGAGAATCACTTGTTTGGACAGGATGCCCTATTTCCTTCCTGGCCTGCAAATGAGAGGAGCTCACACTTTCCTGGTGGTAGTCCCTTACAAAAGCCTTAGGTGAGACAAGAACCCAAGAGGAGAAAAAGGAAAGGTGACATGGATTGCCCTGACTCTGAAACCTAGGCAGGGTGATCCTGAAACCTAGGCAGGGTGACCCTGAACCTAGGAAGGGTGATCCTGAAGCGAAGATGTGACTGTTTGGCTGCATTTCCAGCTCTAACTGGGCAATCTTAACTAATCTTGTTATGTTTCTGTTTTTTTTTTTTTTTTTTTTCCCCCCTAGATGACACTGATTCTGTAAGTCATTTCTGTGTGTTCAGGTTGATGCTGTGATAATGTGATGCTATTGGTCCTGCTTGAACTGTGCTCCTCAGAGTTAAGCTCTACAGAAGTAGATTGCCCAGTCTTCCTTCTGGGGTTCAAAGCTGGTTTGAACTACCAGCTTTCTGGTTAGCAGTCAAATGTTTTAGGCGCTATGCCACCAGAGCTCTCTGCAAACAAGACTAGATGTTTCATATTTTCTGAGACAGTTTTTTCTTTTAGGCTTATTTAAGCATAATTATTGACCTTTTCATTGGAATCATGTTCAATTATATATTTTAAGGGGCATTAATGATTTAATGATGGTGAATCTTTCTAGCCAAGAATATGGATGGCTATTTGATTTTAATTTTTTGGCTATTACAAATAAAGTTGCTATACAATTCTCGTACATGTCTTTTAGTGGACATATATTTTCTTTTGTCCTGGATATATACCAGGAGTAAACTTCCTGGGTTATAGTGTTGGTGTATGTTTCTGAGACAGTTTTGACTTCAAATATGTTATGCTTTTGTTGGGTTATTTGCTATTCTCTATATTCTATTTTGGTTTCACAAAGGTCGTGTAAAAAAGATGCTCATGATATAACTGTAGAACATGTTTACTTTATAAGCCATGTTAGTGGACAAAAGTGTTTGTGTATGGTTACACATACAGATATATTGTCACAAGCCAGTATAAGGTTAAATGAGTGAGGGAGTACCCAAAAATCCATAATTAAGATAAATAATATTTTTTAAAAATTAAGCTTTATGCAAATAATCCATGATAAATAAAATATCAAAACTTTAAATAAAGACAAGCTCCAACTCTGTCTCACTTGCTTCACCCTAATCCTGGCTCTGGGTCATAGAAAGGTGTTTTGAAAGACATAGACTAAAAGATTAGTAGTGTTTATATCTTATTAGAGGAATTAAGAGTAATTTATATATATAAATATTTATAAAGGGGGAGCTCTGGTGGCATAGTGCCTAAGGCATTTGTCTGCTAACCAGAAGGCCCACCAGCCACTCCTCAGAAGGGAGATTGGGCAATCTACTTTCATACCTTGGAAACTCAAGGTGGGGTAGCTATGAGTTGGATCCAACTTCACAGCAATTAGTTTTTGTTTGTTTATATATATATATATATATATATATATATATAGTATATATATTGTTAGCTGTCATTGAGTTAGCCTCCAATGGATGGGGATTTCATGTACAACAAGATAGGACCATTGTGATCCATAGGGTTTTCATTGACTTATTTTTTGGAAGTAGATCACCAGGCCTTTCTTGCTAGCCCATCTTAGTTTGGAGGGTCTGCTGAAGCATGTTCAGCATCATAGAAACATACAAGCCTCCTGTGATGTACAGGTGGTGACTGCACTTGAAGTGCATTGGCCAGAATTAAACTCAGGTCTCCCACGTGGAAGCTGAGAATTCTAACACTGAGTCATCACTGACTTTATGGAAGTAGATCTTTAAGGAAGTAGATTGCCCAATTTTCCTTCTGTGGAGTGGCTGGTGGGTTTGAACCACCAACCTTCTGGTTAGCAGTCAGATGCCCTAAGCACTATGCCACCAGAGCTCCTTGACTTTATGTATATATACATATATACACATATGCACACATATAATAGTTTTCTGCTATGAACATATACAGTATTTATAATATATATATTTTAAATTTAAAATATGCAGAAGATGTTAGACCTACGCCCCAAAATGTTAAGGCTGGTCATAGTAGATAGCATTTAAACTTTTTAAATACAGTAAAAATAAAATTAGAAACTATTCCTACTCTAAAAGAGAATAAATATTGGTCACTACATTCAAATAAAAGAATTGCTCCCTACTTGGTGTTCTCATAAGATTTGATTCTCATACTAGTAAAATGCTTGTTGTGTTACTTGATAGTTCAGGGGTTTCTTATCACTTTCCCTTGCTAGGCTGCAAGCTTCTTCCCCTCAGAGACCTTGATTCCTTCACAGAGGGAGGCCCTGTGCCTGGTACATTTCTAGGCTTAGAATAGATACTCAGTTAGTGTTCATGCTCTTTTTCTTTAGATAAAACAATGGAAAATGTGCTTCCTTGAAGAATTACCAAATATTCTGAAGTACTCGGTCTTGTTAAGTGCTGTTGAATTGATTTTAACTCAATGACTCTATGTAACAGAATAGAACTATTCCATATGGTTATCTAGGCTGTAGTCTTTACGGTAGGAGATCACCAAATCTTTCTCCTGAGGAGCTGCTGGGTGTGTTCAAACTGCCAATCTTTTGGTTAGCACTCAACTGTCATATCACCATGGCTTCTAGTCCCTGAGGAAGTGAGAGTACAAATTATCATGGAAATTTTCTTCCCAAAGTTGTGAACAAGGTTTTGACATACTTTTCAGAATCAAACTATTCACTCAGGCACATAGATGTATGCTTAAAATTGCTTGCATGTTATAATCTAATACTTGTGGGTTGAAGATGTCAGTACTAACCAAAATTCCCTTGTTTGTCTCCCTCTTCTTTCCCCCATTGCTAAAAATCATAGAATATTGGAGTTAGCTATCAGGTAGTCCATTTCTAAGACAGAAAAAAGAAACATTAAAGAAATCATATCTGGAACTTCATCTTGTCTTGAAGCATACATAAATCTGAGTTCAAAGCTCTTAATTCTCAGGAAGGACAAGAGGAAAGTGGACAGAACTGAGGAATTGGGCGGTAGTCCTGAGGCACTAGCTTGTGTGGCAGACCCTCTAGGCCTCTATTATCTCCGTCTCTTATATGTATATAACTTTCGTTTTGTCCTTCCTGAGAATTAAGAGCTTAGAACTCAGATTTATGTATGCTTCCAGACAAGATGAAGTTCAAGATATGATTTTTTTTTTAATGTTTCTTTTTTCTATGTCATAGAAATGGACTTGCGAGGATATTTGATGCTGTGTGACAAATCCCAGGTTCTAGTCCAGGCTGTGAAGGAGGCCTAGTGGTGCAGTGGTTAAGCCTCAGCTGCTAACTGAAAGGTTGGAGGTTCTATTCTACCCAAAGGTACCTCAGATAAAAGGCTTGGTGATCTACCTCTGAAAAATCAGCCACTGAAAACTATATGGGGGACAGATCTACTCTGACACACCTGGGATCACTATGATTCACAGTCAACTCAATGGCAAGGGTTGTTTGGTTGATTTAATTAAATATAGAAACCAAACACCTATCCATCATTTCAAGTATAGATTATGGTGTTCCTCAGTATTGGAGTGAGAAGTGTACAATATTTGGAAACATTCTCTATCTGGTTTATCTAAGCACAAGAAGTAATTTATTCTTTCTTAATGAATGACTTACTTAGAAGAGAGCTGTGCTTGACATGACCCATACTGCCAGATGATCTGCTGGCCCTGGCCTGTCTCTGGGGCTCATCCAGTAGCCCTCTTTCCTCAGTCTCTTAGTTTTAGCCACACTCCAACCTCGTTCACACCCAGGGCCATTGCACTTGCTATTTCTTCTTCACATGACTGGCTCCTTTACATAGTTCAGGTTCTTCTCAGATGTAACTTCCTCAGAGAGGTCTTCCTGGACTACTGAATTGAAACTGTATCCCACTGTCCCAATTACTCTCTATTATCTTGACTAATTGTTTCCAATATCACTTGTCACTTCCTGAAGTAATCTTCTCCACTTATTGATTGACTTGTTGATCTCTTCCCTCAGCCCCATTTAAGCTCCATAACAACAGAGACTTGACTGGTTTTGTTCACTAATGTTTCTCCAGTACTTAGAACAAATTCTGAGACTTAGCACACACTTGTTGTTATCTGCCCTCCAGTCAGACCTGACTCATAGCAATCCCTCTTTGGATTTCTGAGGTAGCATAGTGCCTAAGGCACTTGACTGCTAACCAGAAGGCTGGCGGTTCAAACCCACCAGCCACTCTTCGGAAGGAAGATGGGACAATCTACTTTCATAGTGATACTGCCTCGGAAACCCAAGGAGGGGTAGCTATGAGTCGGGTCCAACTCGAAGGCACATAACAACAACAACAACATCACTACGGCAGTAGATTCCTCAACCTTCCTTCCAAGGAGTGGCTGGTGGGTTTGAACTGCCAGCTTTCTGGTTAGCAGTCAAGTGCCATAGGCACTACACTACCAGAGTTCCTATAGTACACACTAGGCATTCAATAAATAATTGTTGAATGAATGAATTGAAACTGCCTATTTTTCAGATTGCTTTTTGTTTGTTTGTTTGCTACTTTGTAAGATTGACAAAGTAGTTACGTATTTCTATAAACTAGAAGATAGGACAATAATTCTTTCTAGTTGCTGGGATCCATGTTAGAGGTTTTACCAGATCATTCCAGCCTTGTAAAGAGTGATGAGTCCCTGGCTGGAGCTGATGACCAGGGCTGCTGCAGGCAGGAGAAGGTGCTGTTTGCCAGGTATCAAGGTCCTGAAAATCTTCCTTGCTCCTTGGTTTAAGGTTTTTCTGAGAGTATGTCTTAAGGGAGACCAGGAAGTGCTGATTCATTTTGGGGAGGAAAACGTAAGGAGTCACTATGTCTCCAGCATACCAAGGCCATCTCATTCTTCCCAAACACCCCTAGCAAGGATAGGTTTGGACTTATTCCTACATAGATTGGTCAGGGGTTGGCTATTTTTTTTTCTGTAAATGGCCAGGTAGTTAATATTTTCAGGTCTGCAGGCTATACACTAACTCAAAAGCAGCCATAGGCAATATGAATATTGGGTGTGGCTGGATTTGGATCAGGGACTGTGTTGGCTGCCTAGACTAGAATCACGGTCTCTGGCCACCTCAGATCTATTCTGGTAGCACAGTGGCTAAGGCACTTGACTGCTAACCAGAAGGCTGGCAGTTCAAACCCACCAGCCACTCCTCGGAAGGAAGATGGGGCAATCTACTTCTGTAGTGATACTGCCTCGGAAACCCAAGGAGGGGTTGTTATGAGTCGGGTCCGACTTGACGGCACATAACAACAACAACAACAAGCAGTGGAGAACACAAAGCCTCCATAGTTTTTATTACCTAGTGGCACAAGGCTGGGTAGGGGCAAGATACATGTGGGGATAAGGGGCCCATAGTTAGGTGGCACTAATAATTACAATCTGAAATTGAACCAAGTGTTCTGAGTTATTTTAAATTTAGTTCTTATAAAACAGGGTTCAAAGCAAAGGTATTTCAATTCAACAAGCCTGTAGTGAGCATCCACTGTGCTGGTTATACACTGAACTAATATTCAAAATGGTTAGCAGCTAGTGTGATGGGGAACTGACCACCTAGAATGTTGTTGTTGTTGTTATTTGCCATCGAGTCGAATAGGCAAGTGCTATCCACAATCTACAGGGACATGGGTGTGAACTGTGGAAAATCATCTTTGAATGCAACTACACAGGTGTATACAGGTGTAGTCTGGCAGGGAGGAAAACAACCTTGATGTAGAATTGGTAATCACAGACTCTTGACAGACATGGCCCTAATGCAGAAATATCTCAACCACACACCTTTCACTAACATTGGAAATTCCATCATTAGGGACTCCTCATTTAGGTTAAAGATCACCATCTTCCTTTCACAGGCAAAAAACACTTGGAAACAAATATACAGTGAGTCATTTTGAGCCACTTACTCTTTGCAAAATTCTATTATGAATTATTTGTATTGGATCCTTTCCAATAGTCAACTGGGAGAGATTTTAAAAGGAAAAAAAAAAAAACCAGAAAGTATAAGCAAATGAGATATAAGCAGTCTCCAAATGATAGAGTGTCTCTCATTTGAATGTCTGACTTAGTACAACTCATAGTTTTGACCAACCCACTGCCTGCTATATTAAACATTTGAAGTACATACAATGGTTCATAATAACAGATGAGCACTGCTTTGTGACATACATCAAAACATTGTCACTATTATATTGCTTTGTTAAAGGTGCTTTAGTGTATCTGGAACTATTTCTTTAATTTTTTTTTAATGCACAGAAAGGTACTCTATACACTAAAACAAACATTTGACTAACTGAGAGTAGAAATAAACCATACCTAACTGCTCCGATTTACATACAAATTGGATGTAAAGACAGATTTAGGAACGGAGCTTGTTCATAATCCAGGGACTGTCTATAGTTCAGCAACATGCTTTAAAAAGTAAAGTCCCTCAAATGAGAAGTGGTTAGGCACGGAGGAAAAACTTGGTCCACTGTAAATTTTAATCAAGGTTATCCTGAATACAAGAGTCATTATAAAAATGTGAACACAGGAAATCTTTGTGTTGCGACTGCTAGAAAGCTTAGCATTAAATTTATGTATCTAGTATGCAAATCTTACACCTCATTTTGTATTTTTCTACCTTTATTTTTCTTCCTCTAAGATTCTTCAAATATTTCTTTTAACTTTTTTGTATTATATGTATTTTTGTAAGCTACTACAAACTGTAAGTGACCTGATACCTAGAGAGACATTTATTCTTTCATTTACTCAGTCATGCAACATGTTTTTTATTGAGCATCTCCTGTGTACTAGGTGCCAGTCTTAAATGCCCAGGAGACAGTATCTATTAGACCTCAATGGACTTATAAAAAGACTTAAAAAGAACATATTTTTACGTATTTTTCTTTTTAGATTTTCCTGGACAGGGAAGGAAGAGGGAATCGTGCCAAGATTTACAAACCTGGGCAAGGTGGTAGTTGTCCTTTGAGGTCCTAGAGGTGGCTGCAAATAGGGTGGGGGCTGCAGTGGAAACCTTCAAAACAGTGATAAGGAGAATAGCAAGGCCGGATGCAGGGAGCATCTTCATCTCCTCCCAGCAGTTGGGTATATCAGCCTGGAGGACAGCAGACAGCACACATTTGCACTTCGACCTTGAGCTGCTTTTATAGAGTCAAACAGGTCTGGGCCTTCAGAGTGAGGATGATTCATGTCTCAAACTGTAATTACACAGCTCACTTCTCTCCCTGATGATGGGGCAACTCAACGGTAACACAGGAGTCAGGAAAAGCTTCATTCTTTGTGATTTACCAAATCATGAAGGACAACAAATGTCACTTTTAAAGTCAATAAAGTGTATCAGTTACACAGTTGCAAAAACTAGTGGTTAACTAGATTAATTTGAGCCCAACTCAACTAGAACATTTGATTAGTCTTTATTTGGGGGCCTTTTCCCATTCTGATTGCAGAAGAGGTAAATGATTAGAATGTAAATTAATTTGGTCTCTCGGTAATCCTGGGTTCCCCAATCACCTAAATCTTCTGCCTGCTCTTTGACATTTCTTGGTAACAAATGTTGTTCTCAGTGACATGTTAGGATCCTAAATCATCATGGAAACATTACAGTACAGTGTGCTGACTTAGGGTGGACATTGAACTGATACCTCTTAGAAAGCTTTTGAATGAGTTAACACAAGATTTTCTTAGTTAACCAAAACATTAGCCAGAATTTCCCCTTCCCTGACCACTCCGATTAACAGGGTTCATATTCTTTTTTCTTCGGCCCTGAGTAAGATGGATTTTGATCCATAGATAGCATGGAGAAATGGTGTTGGATGGTGGGAAAAGCACTTCAGAGTCAGACAAAATGAGATTAAATTTTGGTTGAGATACTTCCTAACTGTGTGATCTGGGGTAGGTTATTTAACCTCTGTGAGTATCAGTTTCTTTATCTGCAAATAAGATAGTAGGCTACTGGACTGTAAACCCCTCAATGGCAAAGGGATAGTATAGCGTATAGCTTGATGTCTGCTGACATCACCTTGGTATACATTAGACTTGGGTTCAAATACTGGTTCTGACAACTGCTCATATATATGACTTTGAGCAGGTTGCTTATTCTCTTTCAGCTACGATACTTTCATCACTAAAATATGGGAAAGGATATCTACCTTGTAGGATTGTTGGAAAGAAGTAAATCAGGTCATAACAAAGCCTTCATCAGACATTAGCTCTTACAAAATAATGCCTGGTTTATCCTTTAATTTTGGTGTCAGGTACCCGGTAGCTTTTTTTTTTAAAAAAAAAATAACCATTTTTTTGTGATTTGGGTGCAATTTTACAAAACAGATTCACTTTACATTCAACAGTTCATTTTGTTTCCCAACACTGATTACAATCCCCACAAGGTAACAACTCTCCTCTCATGCCTTCCCTATGGTTACCCTTTCCCTTTGTCCTTCTTACCTATGCCCTCCTGCATGCCTAGTTTCTCACTGTAAATGCAGTCCTTTTGGTCTCCCATGGTTGACTCTTCTAAGGAGTGCATCTCCCTGGTGTAGTTGTTCAGCTTGTAGGGCTGTCTATTGTTTGGCTGAGAGTTGAGCCATGGGACTGAGTCTAATTCCAGGCCCAAAGGGTGACTTGGGGCTAGTCTCAGGAGTTTCACTAGTCTCTCTCTGACCAGTAATCCTGGTCTTTTTCATGTTTTTGAATTTTGTTCCCCATTTTTTTTCTCTCACTCTATCCAGAACCTCCAATTTTGATCCCTTTCTGAGTGGTTGGCATTGGTGGCTGGGCATCATCTAGTTCTTCTGTTCTCATGGTCATGTAGGCTGTGCTCCATTAGCCCCTTGGTCTAATTGCTTCCATATGTCATCATTTTCTTCACTTTACTTTGCTCTGGATAGTTGTGTTTCACATGGCTGCTGCCAAGCTTTCAAGATCCTAGATGCTACTCACTAAAGTAGGATGTAGAACAATGTTTTTGTGTAGTATGTTGTGCCAATTGAGCTCACTGTCCCCCACAACCATGGTCCTGAGCCCACAGGCCCAGTGACTCCCTCTCTCAAAGTGCTTGATTGTGGCTAAGAAGTTATCCTAACTTTGTTCCCTGTTAGCTCTACAATGTACGTAGACATTTTTTAGCACATACAGATACATATGTGGGAAATCATCTACCAAACCTATGTATGGTCATGGTTATACTCCCATTTGCTTACCCATCTTCTTGCCTGTCTAGTTATGTATCTACTCATAGATTAAAGTTGGTTATTACTGATGCAGTACTAATGAAGTACTGTGTATGTATTACTATTTACCTTTGTTGTCTGTACCTCTTATGCACCTTTCTGCCTTTTCCCTAGTGATGTTGTGCTGGTCACACACTTTTGTTATACTGCATTTCCTTTCACTCAAATCAACTTGTGTCTTTTAACTAGTCAGCAGTTTTTCCTTCCCTCTCCTCTCATCTGTGGTAAGCAATAAAAGAAAATTTCCTTCACTATGTAAACCTTTCCTTGACTTTTTATAATAATAGACTTTTACAATATTTATCCTTCTGTGACTGACTTATTTCATTCAGCATAATATCCTCCAAGTTCATCTACATTATGTGGTGATTCATGAGTTCTTCATTATTCTTTAAAGTTGCATAGTATTCCACTGTGTGTATATACCATAGTTTGGTTATCCATTCATCTGTTGATGGGCACTTAAGTTGTTCCATCTCTTTGCTATTGTGATGATGCTGTGAGGAATATAGGTGTGCATGTATCTATTTATGCCCCAGCTCTCCCTTCTTTAGGATATGTACCTTTATAGTGGGATTGCTGGATCAAATGGTATTTCTATTTCCAACTTTTTAAGAAAGCACCACACCATTTTCCACAGTGGTTGTACCACTTTACAGTCCCACCAGCAGTGTGTGAGAATTCCTGTCTCTCCACCTTCACCAGCATTTGTTATTTTCTGTCTTGTTGAACTCTGCTACTATTGTTGGGGTGAGATGGTATCTCATTGTTTTGATTTGCATCTCTTTAATGGCTAATTATCATGAGCATTTCTTCATGTGTTCATTGGCTGCCTGAATATCTTCTTTGGTGAAGTGTCTGTTCAAGTCTTCTGCTCATTTTTAAATTGGATTGTTTGTCTTTTTGATGTTGAGGTATTGGAGTTTCCTATAAATTTTAGAGATAAGTCCCTTGTTGGATATATTTTTTGCTGAATATTTTTTTCTCATTTTGTAGGTTCTCTTTTTATTCTTTTCGAGAAATCTGTTGATGTTCATAAGAAGTTAATGTTTAGAAGGTCCCAATCATCTAGTTTATTTTCTGTTGTTTGTGCATTTTGTGTTATGCTTGATAGTCTGTTTATATTATAAATTATGGCCCCTAGGAATAGCATAGTGCCTAAGGCACTTGACTGCTAACCACAAGGCTGGCGGTTCAAACCCACCAGCCACTCCTTGGAAGGAAGTTTGGGCAATCTACTTCTGTAGTGATACTGCCTCAGAAACCCAAGGAGAGGTCACTATGAGTCGGGCCCGACTTGACGGCACATAACAAGAACAACAATACTGGAATTGAACCCACAACTGTGGTTTCTAGCCAAACAAAGTACAGGCATGTGAGTTAAACATTTACCTCAAGTAGACACACGCCCTGGAGAGAACAATCATGGGAGAAGGAAGGGCTGCTTATGCACAGGGAGATAGCTCAGGGTGCAGAAGAGTATGAAGGGATGGACACTGGGAGGAGGTAACTATGGGGAGGAAGTGGGAGGGGAGCTGCTGCTTTGTAAATTTTGATCAATGACATGAGACAAAATATGTGAACTGCTGTATGAAAAGTGAATTTACTCTGTAAATCTTCACCCAAATCCTAAAAAAAAAAAAGAACAACAACAAAGTTTGCCCTTATTCTATCTTTGATGATCTTTATGGTTTTGGTTTTACATTTAGGTCTCTGAACAATCTTGAGTTCATTTTTGTGTATGGTGTGAGGTATGAATCTAGTTTCATTTTCCTGCAAATGCATATCTAGTTTTGCCAAAATGATTTGTTAAAGAGGCCATCACTCCCCCATTTAATGGATTTCAGATCTTTGTCAAAGATCAGCTGTCTATAAATGTGTGTATCTATTTCTGTATTCTCAATTCTGTTCCACTGGTCTGTGTGTCTATCATTGTATCAATAACCTTGTAGGCTTTTAACAAATGTTTTTTTGAATGGATGAATGGCTGACTAGATCAATGTTTCTTGATCAAAGTTTCTCAAAGTATGGTCCCAGATCAGCAGCATCACTATTACCTGGAACTTGTTAGAAATGCAAATTCTTGGGCCCTGACACAGATAGGCTGAATCAGAACCTCCGGGAAAAGGGGCCCTGCTGTCTGCATTTTAACAAGCCCTCCAGCTAGTCCTGGTGCACACTAAAGTTGGAAAAACATTGGATTAGTTAAATAAATAGCAGTATGAAGTCCTGGATGAAATGGGGGGGAAAAAAAAAAGAAAAGTGTAAAACTTTCCCAGAACATCCCAAGCACAGAGGGTATTCAATACCACCCTTGCCATTGAGAGGGAGTGTTTTTTAATGGTGACACAGCTGATATATGAAAGTCATATGTGAGGTCTGTTGCAAGTAATTTGTTAGATACCATTCAACTTTACTCCAGTGACTCAACTTTCAGCTAAACAATAGATAGTTCTATAAGGTAAACAGTAAAAACCAGAGGGTAAGTACTCATTAGAACAATCAAGCATATGAGATCAAGAGGATATTTGCCCAGAGATAGAGCTAGGAAGTCCAGAGAGGATGGGGAGGAAGGATGAAGGGAAGGGGTGGGTACAATGAGGAAGTGGGAAGAACGCTGTTACAGTGTGAGGATTGCAGTGAATGTCACCAAATTGAATGTGTATTCATTGCTGAATGGAACACTAATTTGCTCTGTAAACTTTCACCCAAATCACAAGAAAAAAAGAAGAAAAAAATGACAAAAGAGCAGAAGATATAAATAAATAAATAAAGCCATCAAGGTTTGTGCAAGATTTACCTTCACATTTAGACTAGATTCAAGATTATTCATATGGTC